AAAGTCATTTTTATTTAATCAATTGCATTCCTTTTTATAATGACATTAATTAACTAAACTGGAAATATGTTTTGCTAGAGTTTTAAAATTAAAAAACCTTACATTTTGTTGCTATTATTTTAATCAGAGTTTAGCCAAGTAAAATTATATAATATTCCTCATGTCTCTGTAATTTTCTAAGTTTCATCCAGAAGTACCACAGAATCTGGCATTTTCAGCAGAATGATGCTGATGCTAATAAAACATCCTGATTTTTATATATATACTCAAGCCTGTGGACGTACCTAATACTCCTGCTTCTTATTTTTCCCACAATAATAACCCTGTGAGAATCATAGTCGTGTTTCACTATGGAGCTTACGTCACAATGCTTGTTTTATCATCTGCTCCCCCTTACCCTCACCGCCAGGCACCCATAGTTTTATCATAATAGCATATGTTGGAGGTTTTTGTTGAATTATTGCACAATGGCATATTTTTTTTTAAAAAAACCAATTTTTAAAATCTGCATGTATCACTCTAGGATAGTAATGATGAGACGGAAGATGTTTCACTTTTTGATGAAAGAGAAGATGAAATGTCTAGAAAGCCCAAGAAATCAAAAATAAGGTAAGTCGGAAAGAAATAGGTTGCTATGTCTTAACGGGCTTTTGGGATGATAGTTGGGAGAAAAAGTTCTGGCATGGCCTAACTCTCCTAAGAATCTGCAAATATAGTTTGGTTTAGTAACTATGATGATGGTGAAATCTTGTGTAGGTGTATAGGTTGAAAATATTTTCATCAATATCGGCATAGATTCTGCTTTCGTTATATCTAGGGGGAGACTTACATTGAATGAACTGCAATATTTACATTTCTTTACCCTCAGCAGACATTTGCAAGAAAATGATGTGGAATATGGTGTTTAAAGTTAAAAATTTGTTTGTTCATATTTAATACTTTTAATACAATTAAACATCTGCCTAACTCAGGTCCTTGGGAAGGACTCAATAGATAGACAAAAATGCCAAATCCAGCCTAAACACTTGGCTGACCATGTGACCAATCATAATAATATAGTTATGCTAATAAGAACATTGCTGCCTTTATGAAATTGGAATAATAGCATAAATTCTAAACCTTGATTTGGCCAGATTAAATACTGAAATTGATAACCAAATTATTTTCTTCATATATCTTTTACAGACATCCTATAGCCTCCTTTTTCCACTTGTTCTTCCGTGTCAGTGCAATAATTGTCTACTTACTTTGTGAATTGTTAAGCAACAGCTATATTGCCTGTATGGTGACAATCATCTTACTTCTATCGTGTGACTTTTGGGCAGTGAAGGTAAGTCATTTCGTAACATGTTGATACTTGAAAATGTTTCCTATCAGAGAAATTGGTAGTGTAGGGAACAGTACTGTTAATCAAAATTAAAATACTAATTTTGATTTCATTTAGCTTGTTTTTCTTTCTGCTCCTCAAATACAGAGATCAAAGTAATGAGCTGAGGCAGGGTGCTCTGTGGTGCTTTGAGCTGTTTTACTAAAGTTATATCAGAACATATGTAAGGAACATAAAAGTTTACATTTGCACTTAAATACAACAAAGTGGCTATTTTTACGCTTTATTCTATTTGTAGACATTTTACCATCCTTGTATATACCGTATTTTTCGGTCTAGAAGATGCACCCCCCCCCAAAAAAAAGGGGGGGGAAATTTTTGTGCATCTTAAAAGGTGAATGTTGCCAAACCCCCCCCCCCCCCCTTTTTGGTTTCTGCCGCCCAGCAATTTGCCTCCTTGCAGCAAACAGCAAATAGCCTGGTCAGCTTCAGGACAGCCTGATTTAACATGAACAGTAGATTGGCGGTTGGATCGGCCTCTCCCAGAATACTGCTGATCAGCTGTTCCAGGCTGTGGGGATCGCTGCTGCCCATCGCCGCCGCCTATCGCTGCCTCCACAAATCCATTTTCAGCCTCCACGCTCTCCATTATTGACCTCTGTGTATCTCATTTTTGGCTTCCATGCATCCCATTTTCAGCCTCCACGCTCTCCATTATTGACCTCTGTGTATCTCATTTTTGGCTTCCATGCATCCCATTTTCAGCCTCCAT